ATCAATAGTGTTTGTAGTCGATCTTAATTTATCAACTTGACTTAGTTGATATTTAAAAATCGGCTTAGCCGACTAAGTTGGAATCAATCAACCTAATTGGTTAATTCGATGCATGTGATTTAAAATAGATATGGTTGGTCAATTAAGTATAATATACTTATATATTCTTTAATCTAAATGATCACATACAGCTGTCTTTATTAATAAATTTAATAAATTCTAAATTTTAAAAAAAATAAAGATAAAAAATTCTATTTTAATTTAAATTTTTTTCTCGTGTATAATTTTTTTTTCTTTTTAACCTCTCGGCGTACAAGTCATAGGATGGCTTGTGTCGCCATTTCTTGCAATTCGATTTACAAGCCAACATATACATTAATTATTTTTGAGTTTTCTTTTAAGAATAATAGATCATGAACTGAATCTGTGCTTAAACGGTTACATTTATCTGTTACAGTATTATCCACGTCAGAGAAGAGCCATTCAGAGGGTACAGAGATCACCAGAATACCAAGAAAAATTCGTGCTTGCTCTGCAAGAAAAGGTAAGGCACTTTTGTGCTCATTCCACCAACCTAAGGGATTACACTTTTTATAATGTAGATCTTTTGGATCGTATTTAGGGATTTCCGGAATTGAAAGGTATATTTGAATTTTGGTGTTGATTGGAGAAGACGTTGAAGGATCGATTCTGTCGCCAAAAAAAGAAGACATTTCTGTATCTGAAGCATTATTAATAGTTGGTAAGTTATTTGTGTAGGGAGAAAATTCAATTTTTTCATGTAATTCTCGGAGCACCTCTCGCTATGTTGTGGGTGAGGCAGCTGATAATGCCTTAAAATGGGGATCTAGAAATGAAGCAAGCCATCCGACTATTTCTGGATTACTCTATCATGATACTATTGATTCGCGAAGACTTTCGTGCACTTCAATAACATCAATATTTGTAAGTTTGTTCTCCATTTGGTCTAAATTTTTAAAAAGGTGTCGCATTGTTGGATACATCATACTCAATGTTGGATATTGATTACCTTCTACAAATATTAGTGCTCTTGCAAATGGACATAAAAGTTGATACAACTCTTCTAGGCCTTTGTATAAGAATAAAAAATTTTTTTTTTTATATATTAATAAGGCCAAGCAAAGTTAATTTTTTAGTTTTTATAGCCTGGCCAAGTAAAATTTAAAAAAAATTTTATGTATATTTACTATCCGGGTGGTCTTTTTAAAAATTTTGTATATAAGTTTTTGAAAATAAAATTAAAAGCCAAACGCCGGATCATTTTTAAAATTTTATATTATGAGAACCAAAAAATTAACTTTAGATGGCTGAATAACTTATTGATAAAATAATTTAAAACAAAAAAAGAGGTATATATTCGTTTTAAACCTTTTTTTTTTTTTTTTTTTTTACCTGTCCATTCTTTATCAGAAAGCATTTTTTTATTTAGGCTAGAACTATCAGCACGAGCAGTATAGTCAGGATCATTTTCCAAACTTTTAGCCAATTCTAAAGTTGATTTTCAAAGTTCTAGAAGCCGCTGGAGAACAAGATAAGTGGAATTCTACCTAGTAGCTGTATCGCTTGATATGGGCTCTAAAATACGCATATTAGTAGTATGTTGATTTTTTTTTTTTTTTTTCAATTAACTCTTGCTAAATTTTTCGGAATAATGATCGGTATTTATCACGGTTTACCAAAAAATTATTTAATGATTTTGCTCATGAAATTAAAGTTTCACTTTTTTTTAAACTGTCGGTAATCGCAAGATAAATGGTATGTGCTGTACAGCCAAAGTAGATGGTGCCTAATTGTCTGATTGCTTTAACTATTGATGTTGCATTATCAGTTATCACTGCTTTAACTTTATCAAACATATTCCATTCAGCAAGAGCTTTGTGCAAAAAATCTTCGATCTGATCTTCTATATGTGGATAGGCGAAATGCTCAATTGTGATTAAAGATTGGTACATTGTAAAGTTTTCAGAAAGCCAGTGGGCTGTTATGCCGATATATGAAACATGATTTTGGGTTCATAAATCAGTAGTAATGCAAACAGAAACCATCATTTGAGACATCATCTCCTTTAATGTTGCATCTGTGTAAAGTACTGATTCTTTAATTAAATTTTTAATCGTGTTAATACAGGGAACTTCAAATCGTCGATTGATCTCATAACAAAAGTCTCAAAACCGATCATGGTTAATACAATTCAATGGCATCATTTCCTCAACAATCCAGGCAACAAGATGATAACTAATACGATTTTGCTGTTTTTCAGAGAGGGGTAACACATTTTCCATTTGCTTTTGAAACACTGCTTCGATTGTTTGTTGGGGGGTTGACGTGGGAGTTGTAGTTGATGTTAGTGGTAGTTGTGCTTCCTATTTTTAATTTTTATAAATTCTATGTTCAGTTCTCAAATGCTCAGCTATATTGGTTGTTGCTGTTTTAGGCATAAACACTGTTATACACTTTTTTGAAGTACCATCATCATTATATATATTAACATCACAATGTTTAATTTTTGTTAATTTATCACGGCGAGTATACTTCCATACCCAGCTGATTACGGGTTTACTTTTTTTTTTGTATTACATTTGGGTTTGAACTTTTTTTTGTAGGTTCTATTTGGGGAGTAAAGTAAGATGTAATAGGCAAAGATCCTGTCGTATTATTCTCTTCATCTTCAGTATAACCACTATCTTCATAATAGTTATCATTTTCGTCATCAATAATATTTTTATCACTAATAATATTTTCGTCAAAACTATTTTCAAAATTAGAGATTCCTTCATACTCGAATGATATGTTATCTTCACCAGTAATATCATTGAACAATTGGTTGCTAGACATTTTTAAGAGACAGATTATACTAAAACTTATAATAATTGTATAGATTGGTCTTTGATTTTATGTAATGGTAAGAGCAGCAATACAAATTTTGATGCATTATATTACTTTTTTTTATGCATATTTATTTAAACCAAAAATTTTTATTAGAATTCAAGTTGCAAGATTATTTGGGCCAGAGAATACAATATTTATGTGAATTAACACCCATGGGCATTATTTAGAGACATGCAATTTAAAGAGAATTAATAATTAATTTAGCCGAATGTGATTCATTGTTTTATTATTGTCTTTAGCTAAATTAATTATTAGTTCTCTTTAAATTGCATGTCTAAATAACGCCTATAAGCGTTAATACGTGTAAATGCGATATGTTTATTCTAGAAAACGAAGTTGGTCATGCTAAGATTTTCCCATACTCAAGCTAGATTTCACATCACACAATAGTATAATATTATGTGGCTATAATATTATACAGTATGTACAAATAACTTTTATTATAGTTATCTTACATCGAGAGAATACTATATGTGTTTTATCAGTTAAAATCAGTTCGCCAATTGGACTAATTGCAGAAATTGGACATAGTTTATTCGAAATTGGGTATATGTCAGTTCTGATTAAAAATAAGTTTATTTAGTCTAATTGACAATACTGGTTGAATGTTTGATTTCGAATTCTCATTACATCGAATCTTTACTATAATGAGAGTTTACCATAGTTATAATGTCATAAATAATTTTTTTTGGAGCAAATCAGTTTCGGCTTTCATGAATGGTCATGAGGTATACGAATTTGTATTAAAAAAGGTTTCATTGAGTAAAAAATTATTTTTTTCATTTGATTTTGGTCACTTTATTGATCATATTGTTGTCTAATGCTATAACGGAAGATTAGTATTATATCTACAGTGATGCATATCTATGTGATCAGCACATTATCTTGCTGTAATAACAAGGTTTTAGACCTTTTGCATAGTTTTTCATGGATTTCAGGTTAGCATGCATAATTTATTGCTAATTCGTAAGATCATTGTCAGTTAAAGAAGTCGAAAAGTATAATGTGTATATAGGTGTGGGTAGTAAAATTTACATACTGGTAATTATCTTCCTGATTAAGAAAACTAGCTTATGTATATATGTGCGTATTACATATTATTATTCGTACATAACTGGTTTTAATTGCACATCGCAAAAATTAGAATTCTTGATAGCTGATAATGCTGTAATATACATACGTGAGATACTGCAAACTGTTCACCTGATTGAATGCAAATTTATTTACAACTATATTTTATTTCTAAAGAGTTATTATTGTTATTACTTGCATGCATTTTTTTTATAAAATTTGATTGGTTATTATAATTTCAATATAACCTGATATTAAGTCAACTACGACTAAACTGATTTTTTGAAAAATCGGCTAACTTAGCCAGCTAAGTCGATAAAATCGACTAACACGAAATTGACTACAAATACTACTCACCAATTGCCATATCTAGGATTCACTTGTAGATCTCTATTTAAACCCTCTGATCGACTTAGCGTCATCAGATGCTTTCTTTAAAAGAATTTTTGCTACTAAAACTCTTAGGACTGCTTTATTCTTATTGTAAACCTACCTGAGTGTCTATGTTCTATATATGTATTATCTGGGTTTTTCAAAAATATACACCCCAATCTGAGGACTAGAACTTGTGATTTTCTGCATCGCTACTGTAACCAACTCCTCACCCTTTACAAAGTTCATTCCGATCCCAATATTTACTTCTAATCAGCCCTTATACCAATCTCTCTCTAACTACCAAACTAGTTAGCTTAGAAGGGTTGTTGTATCTAGACTCTAAGTGCTTTCTGGTTTTACTTCCCTTGGTTCTGAATTTCATAGCATCAGACCTTTTCTTCCGAGACCAGGTTGGTGGACCCTTCTTGCCCCAGGGTTGTTTGTCCAGTTTTTCGGTTTCCGATTCTGGTTTTCTATAATATCGTCAAAGATTTTCACTACTTCTAGCTCGAGTCTTGTCAAACAGGTTTTAATTATTCTAGTTCTTTAAATTTGATTACTCTAAAGCTTCTATTTCGAGATAGTGATACCAAAGTTACAGGTAATATACCTAACTGATCATTGAATAAATGCTACCATAACACAACTTAACTACTACTCTACGTTGCCATACCCTTGTATCTAAATTTTTTATATATAATATTATAGCAAAAACATATAGAATTACTTATAAACTTTGAAGCTATAATATTTCTTCTTTTACATATTAACTTTAAATTAAATTTTATGAATAAATATATCATAAAAAGAAGAATAAAATGCTTTCGAAGCTGAATTAAAATTTTGCTATTTTTGTACAATTTAAAAATATAACTTAGCCAAAAGAAAAAATTTAACAGTTTTAAAGCAATAATTATATGTAAAATTATACTCTGAACAACTCTAATTAGAGAATCAAAAAAGGTTATCTTAATACAAAAAAAGTTTCTATATATTAATGTCAAAATTTTCAGTTTTCTATATAAAACTTTTTTTTCTGATTAGATAATCTATTCTGATCTCTTAAGCAAATTTGTTTAGCACACAATTCTACATATTTTTTATTTTACTGATTTTGTTTTTTTGAATATTTTACTAAGTAAAAGATTGGATTAAAGGTTATATAAAATTTTTTTTTAAAAAATTTTTTTAAAAAAAATTTTTCATAAAATCTTTGATCCAATCTTTCACTTAGTAAAATGTTTAAAAAAAAAATCGGTGAGATATAAAATATATAAAATTGTATGCTGAACAAATTTGCTTAAGAGGTCAGAATAGATTATCTAATCAGAAAAAAAGTTTTATATAAAAAAACTAAAAATTTTGATATTAGTATATAGAAAACTTTTTTTGTACTAAGATAACCTTTTTTGACTCTCTAACTGGAGTTGTTCAAGGTATAATTTTACATATAATTATTGCTTTAAAACTGTTAAATTTTTTCTTTTGGCTGAATTACATTTTTAAATTGTACAAAAATTGCAAAATTTTAATTCAGCTTCGAAAGTATTTTATTCTTCTTTTTATGATGTATTTATTCATAAAATTTAATTTAAAGTTAATATATAAGGGAAGAAACATCACAGCTTCAAAGTTTATAAGTAATTCTATATATTTTTGCTATAATTTTATATATAAAAAATTTAGATATGACAAATCGGTTGACTAATATAAAATTTCTTTAAAGAATTTGATTTTTTTAAAAAAGATTTTATATAGTTGTCAAAATGTTTTTTAAAGATTTCTCAAGAACCACCAAGCCAATTTTAATATTCTTACTACCATTAGATGCGTTTTAATGAGCTCTACAACTTTTGTTAGAAGCCCAAAGGTAATTTATTTAGTAAAAAAAAGTTTTCTTTGTATGAATACCACATTTCTGTCTTCAGTTTATTAGAGAATCATTAATTAAAATTTTTTAAAAAAATTTTTTTTTGTGTAATGTTTGACTCAATCTTTCACTTAGTAAAAAGTTCAAAAAAACAAAATCAGCGAGATATAAAATATGTAGAATTATATGCTGAACAAATTTGCTTAAGAGGTCAAAACAGGTTATTTAAGCAAAAAAAAGGTTTTACATAGAAAAACTAAAAATTTTGATATTAGTACATAGAAAACTTTTTTTTTTATTAAGATAACTCTTCTTTACTTCCTAATTGGAATTGTTTAAAATATAATTTTACATATAATTCTTACTTTAAATTTGATAAATTTTTTCTTTTGACAGTTATATTTTTAAATTGTATCAAAATTACAACATTTTTATTCAGTTTAAAATGTGTTTTTTTCATCTTTTCTTGATGTATTTATTTGTAAAATTTAATTTAAAGTTAATATCTAAATAAAGAAATATCATCACAACAAAGTTTATATATAATTCTTTTTTTTTTTTTTTTTTTTTTTTTTTAACGTCTACCCTCTTGGGAGCTGGGATTTTTATTCAAGTATATAT